GTTCTAATTGAGTCTTTTCCTCATTTGGCTTCCACTTCCCTCCCGCCCTCCCATCCTCTCTTCTGCTCTTTCCTGTATCACCGCCCCCAAAACGGGAGAGGGAGGGCGGAAGGGGGTGACTTGGCAGGGCAGCTGGGGTCTGAGACTACAGGAGGCAGTGACTGGCTCCCGGTTCCTACCTGGTAGGCTGTCCTTCCCAGGCTCCAGGCTGTGGGCTGCCCCTCCGTCTCTCTCCATTGGCATTTCAGACACAGGTTTTCGGGGTGCAGCTCCTCCTCGGGGACCTGAAGATAGGGAAGACAAAAGAGGGAGGCTAAGATAATGTCCCTTGACTTGCATGTACTACCAAAACCTCCTTCAGGTCCTAGCAGGTCTCCTTGTCCCTGTCCCCAAGCCTCACTCACTTTGTCCCACTCGAAGAAGCACCTTCATGCCTCTGGTCAGGCACACACCTCCCTGCAAACTCTCCAGGCCTTCCCGGGTCCCATCTGATGTGGCTGGAAACAAGAACAGGGCAAGAAGTCAACACTCCAGGTCTAGCCCCTCCTCTGTTCCCATGCCCTGGGGGAATACTACTGAGTGCACAGAGGTGGGATTCCAACGGTCCTCCCTTCCAGGGACTCTCTATTGTCCTGCCCTCTGCCTGGCAGTACCAATTATGTAGTAATCGTGGTGGGATCGGAACTCGTGGCCCCAGAGGTTAGGGCTGTATTCCTGGAACTTGATGGTGAAGCGGAGGTCCAGGTCTGGCCGGTCACATGTGAGAAGAAGGTTTGGGGCAGGGGGTGCCTCACATCGCCGGCCCTGGGGACCCCCTACCAGGTACAGCTTGTAGAACTCATAACTGGGAGAGGAGTGGGGGCCAGGAGGCCGGGCCCGGGGGCAAAGTAGATCTAGCCGGTCCCCAATCTGAGGGTAAAGCACGTAACCACCCTCTGCCTGGAACCTATAGAGAAGACAAGGTAGACAAGGAGGAAATGTCAGGGGTGTGGTGCCCAAAGCTTTTCCTTTCTCACTTCCAACCCTCCAGGACAATTCTCAGCTCCCACCCATTGCCTTTGTCTGAGTCCTGTGTTCAGTGAGTGTGGGCACCAAGGGCTCTGCTAGCTCACATCAGAAGCAGCAGGAGGCCAGGCTCAGAGGTCTCCTGCCCCTTGGTGTGCCCAAATGCACTCTTCAGCCCGCCCTCACCACATGCACACTGCCATCTCCCGCTCCATCACCGGTGCCGTTGCCATGGCAACGGGATGCCAGTTACCAAGGAGCTGGCCTCTCTGGAACCACACAGCCCACCCCTCCCAGGTGATTTCACTATTCCATGGCAGTCAACCATGGGGGTAGAACCTCCCCCTCCTCCAGGCCACCACCGAATTTCAGGGCAAAAGGGGCAAGGTAGAGGTTGGGGGTGGGGGGTGATCTGGACCAGTTTCCCAAGTTAGCCAGTTAATGAAACATGAAGCAAATGCTAGTTTTGGCATTGATCAAAATGGGGCTGATGAGAGCTAACATACAGGGGCCGGGCCGACCACCCAGATCATTCTCCTTCTTGCATCCCACTTTGGGGCTTAAACTTTCTGAGGAGAGTGCTCTCCTGCTTTGGAGTTGAAGTAGTTGACTTCTGTAACCACAACTGACACAACCCAGCATATACCCTTGGCCAGGAAGTCAGGGAACCCATGGGCCCAGCACAGCCACAACTTGTCTGCCACTGCAAGCCCTGCCCATGCATCCAGAGAAGAAACTGAGTCCCAGGAGACTATTACCCAGAGTCTTTGCAGACTCCAAATGACCGGCTCCCACCCAACCTCCGAAAGAGTCTCAGAACACCCTAATGCCTTTTCTCAACACTATCAGGATAGTCCAATTTAAAACCTTAAGAAACACCTGCTACTCAAAACTGCAGCCAGGAATTGCTGGCAGGTGGGAGATACTAGAGGAAGAGGGGTACCAGGATTGGAACAGGACAGGAGGCCAAAAAGCAAAAACACACAATAAAAATAATCCTATCTCTCCTTTCATGAGCATATAATACGTAAAATACCTTGCCTCCAATCCTCAAACAGCTGTAAGGACTGAAGATAACAAACTCAGAAAGGTTAAGTAAGTGGCTAAGGCTACACAGCTGCAAACAGCAGAGCTAGGATTAAGTCCAAGTACCTGGTGAACTCCGAAGTCCACTCCCTCCCATGGCCTCTCACGGCCTCCCCAGGGAAGTAGGAAGTTTCTGAAACATAGAACTCTTGGGCTGATGGTAATAGAAAATGCCAGGGAGGCAAAAATCACTTAGATGGCCTCCCATAGGTTCTGTCTGCCCTGTGTGACTGACCCCTGGTCTCTTTTTAACCCAAAACAAGCATGCCAGGGAAGAATCCCTGATGGGAGAGTTTGCAGCCAAGAGAACAAGAGAGGGCAATGGAATCCTCAGTACTCCAGTGGCAAGAGGAAAGGAAGGAGGCTTGAGGGGCTCAAAGCTCACTCTAGAAAGAATCTGTCAAACCAGGAAGACAGGAATATATATTCTAGCTGGCAAGTTGTTCAGCCAAAGGTTCACTAGTGCTCTAGCTGTGAACACAAGTTGGGGGTGAGCTGTTCCTCACCCCCAAACTGAACCCACTTTGCTCTCATCTCCAACACCGAGTGCCTCCTGGGAGCTGGGCATCTCTGCCCTTCCCCTCAGTGCCTCAGCAGCACCTAGTCAGCACCTCTCTCCTGAGAGCTGACATTAACCAGGCTCCCTTCAACCCAGATGACACAGGTCTCCTACAGATCCAAATAGCCACTCCACTGCCCTCTCGCTGCCCGTGAACTTTTTATCTTTGCCCCTTTAAGGTCTCCAAACTCCTGACACATGGCATCACCACCCACATCCAGCTATGTGAGACTCAGAGTCTGGCTCCTAAGATCATTGCTGTCTTGTAACCTGTCACCTCACCCTGCTACAGCACCCCTTGCCAGCCTCCTCCCAGCCCAGAATCCAAACCCTGAAGTCTCAAAGCTTCCATATCCCTTACCCACGGGACTGGAGTCTCCCCAGTCCCAGGCCACTCACCTCTTATTCGCCGAGTTCCAGTAGACAGGCTCCAGGCTGAGTCCAGACACCAGCCCCGCAAAACCTAGCA